CATCCTCCTCCTCTTCTTCTTGCTGCCTGGCTGTCACTCCCATCCTCCTCCTCTTCTTCCAGCTGCCTGGCTGTCACTCCCATCCTCCTCCTCCTCTTCTTCTTGCTGCCTGGCAGTCACTCCCATCCTCCTCCTCTTCTTCTTGCTGCCTGGCTGTCACTCCCATCCTCCTCCTTCTCTTCCAGCTGCCTGGCTGTCACTCCCATCCTCCTCCTCCTCTTCTTCCAGCTGCCTGGCAGTCACTCCCATCCTCCTCCTCCTCTTCTTCTTGCTGCCTGGCTGTCACTCCCATCCTCCTCCTCCTCTTCTTGCTGCCCGGCTGTCACTCCCATCCTCCTCTTCCAGCTGCCTGGCTGTCACTCCCATCCTCCTCCGTGTCACACGGAGCTGATTTTCATACATACTTCCTTGTTTTAGGGTCTCATTTACAGCAGAGGATGGATATGACTCTCTGCCCCGCCCCCAATCACAGAAGGCGGGATCTGGGATAACACTTCATTCAGAGATGACATCATTTTTGCAGATCCTCCTCCGGCGGTCGCGGTGACAACGCCGGCGCTTCCTACAGACTTCACCATCAGCCGACATCGAGCTGAACACAACAAGCCTGACATAGCGACCACCGGGACAGGAAGTGACAGGAAATCTCAGCAGGGACACCGACTACAAACCTGACACCGGGTGTAACCCCCTCCCCCTAACAGTCACCTGACAACCGCCTGAGCGTCCGTGCAGAAGACGCATTGTGTGTCACAGCGAGATGGAGGACCCCGTATACAGGCCATGACCCCGACCCCTCCTCCTGTATACAGGCCATGATCCCTCCCCTATATACAGTCCCTCCCCCTCCTCCTCCATACAGTCCGTGATCCCTCCCCCTCCTGTATACAGTCCGTGATCCCTCCCCCTCCTGTATACAGTCCGTGATCCCTCCCCCTCCTGTATACAGTCCATGATCCCTCTCCCTCCTGTATACAGTCCATGATCCCTCCCCCTCCTGTATACAGTCTATGATCCCTCCTGTATACAGTCTATGATCCCTCCTGTATACAGTCTATGATCCCTCCTGTATACAGTCTATGATCCCTCCTGTATACAGTCTATGATCCCTCCCTCTCCTGTACACAGTCTATAGGTGACAGTCTATGATCCCTCCCCCACAGACACACACGGGGTGGGGGAGGGGGGTCAGTGAGTAACAGGCCGCGCCGCACACCTCCACCCTCCTCCTGTCACTCCCCAAGCCCCCTTGCCCCCTCACCTCGGTAGCAGGGCTTCGCGGTCTCGTCGTCTCCGGTCGGCCTCTCTTCCTCTCAGTACAACTCCGGCTGCAGCTCCCACAGAGAACCGCCCGGCTCAGGCACGGTCACGTCTCGTACGTGCGCGATCGCGCTGGGGAGTTCGGGTTCGAGCGCACTCACAATTTGGACGAATGGGGCCCAGGCGTGATGACGTCACCACGCGCGAGCACGAGAAAAAGTCACCAGGAAAGGGCAGCCGCGCGTGCGCAGCAGGGAATAGCGTTTGGGCGGGGTCGGAACGAGTTGGCGCTCGGCTGCTTGGGTCACGAGTCCGCGGACTGTACCAATCAGTTGCTTGTGGTGGGGGGGGAGGGCAGGATGGACAGGGCAAGTATTTCTCAACGCGTTCACGGATCTTCTAAATGTCCCCCCTTTCCTTATATAGATATTTAGTTATGAGGAGAGGAGTGACGGGTAGGCGGGGTTAGGAGGTCACTAACCAATGAACTAGGCCGGAGGCGGGGGTATGCAGAGTAGAAGACTGAGCGGGGTATAAATAGTACCGATGCTATTTGTGCTCTTCTTCTTCATACGGACATACGGAGAGCGGTGTGAAATCATCGCTGTGTGTCATCGTTGAGCAATCAGTGTGTGTGAGCCAACCGAGAGCTGATCAC